AAAACTCAGCAGTGGCCAGAGGATTGGAAAAGATCAGTCTACATCCCAATCCCAAAGAAGGGCAGTGCCAAAGAATGCTCCAACTACCATACAATTGCACTCATTTCACACGCTAGCAAGGTTATGCTCAAAATCCTACAAGGTAAGCTTCAGTAAGTGGACCGAGAACTCCCAGAAGTACAAGCTGGATTTTGAAGGGGCATAGGAACTAGAGGCCAAATTGCTAACATGTGCTGGATTATGGGGAAAGCCAGAGAGTTCCAGAAAAACATCTACTTCTGCTTCATTGATTACGCAAAAGCCTTTGACTGTGTGAACCACAACAAACTATGGCAAGTTCTTAAAGAAATGGGAGTGCCTGACCACCTTATCAATCTCCTGAGAAATCTATATGTTGGACAGGAAGCAACAGCTAGAACTGGATATGGTACACATGATTGGTTCAAAATTGGGAAAGGAGTACGACAAGGCTGTATATTGTCTCCCTGCTTATTTAATTTATATGCAGACTACATCATGCGAAAGGCTGGACTGGAAGAATCCCAAGTGACAGGTTTTACTTTCTTGGGCTCCATGATCACTGCAGATGGTGACAGCAGCCAGAAAATTAAAAGACACCTGCTTTTTGGGAGGAAAGTGATGACAAACCTCAATAGCATCTTAAAAAGCAGAGACATCACCTTGCCAACAAAGGTTCGCATAGTCCAAGTGATGGTTTTTCCAGTAGCAATGTGTGGAAGTGAGAGCTGGACCATAAAGAAGGCTGACCGTGGAAGAAATGATGCTTTTGAATTGTGGTGCTGGAAGAGATTCTTGAGAGTCCCCTGGACTGCAAGGAGAGCAACCCTATCCATTTTGAAGGAAATCAACCCTGAGTGCTCACTGGCCCATGGGGTCACAAAGAGTTGGACATGACTTAATGACTAAACAACAAAAGTAGCCTCTGATTTCCTTGTATCGCTCCTGAGCATTTCAGTTTCCTGCAGTACCATCCTGGAGTGCTGTCATATCTTCAGGAATTCTAGGGAATGACAGGAGACAGGAAAAACCTAATACTTATTTTGATCCCATCCTATATTTTGCATGTAACATATTCTTTTCCTATGTCTGTCTTTTCTCTTTTTTTTAGTAATTTGCAGCGATTATATACGATTTTTATGAAGAGATAATTTTTCTTTATTTCAGGACAGAGACTTCTGCATTATCTCAGTGCCACATTTGGTCCCTGAATTTCATCTGATCCAGAATTTTGTCCGGATTATTCCATTTAGCAACTGTACACTAGATCATGAGCTCTACGTATTTCACCGTTCAGGATTGCTCAAGTTAGTACACATTTTGTCATGGCAACAAATATGTTTAAAGAATTTTTCTAGTTCAGTTATTTGTTTTTATTTATAATTAACTACTCATTAATTATAATAAGATGGGGGTTTCGCATTCATATACAAATCTGAAGCCTGCCAGCACAGGTGGCCAGCCTGATTAATACTCACTCCCAGAACCTGCCAGACCACTTACTATGCAGTGTGTGGCAGCCCTGCCTCCCTGCTTGCCTGGCCATTCTGGCAAGGGGGCAGGAGGACGAGCCTCCCTTCTCAGCCATGGAGTGGCTGGACAAGCAGGGAAGCACGTGGGGCTGTGGTAGCTGAGCAACTGCCAAGATTGGTTCACTGAAGCTTATGCCAGCCATGTGCGATGCCGGCTGCACAGTAAGTGGTCCATCGAGTTTGGGGGGGTGTTAATCGGGCTTGCAACCTTTACTGGCAGGTTTCAGATTCGTATATGAATACAATGCCCCATCTGTAACTATAATTAATGTACCTATTAGGAGACAATTTTAAATGTGAAGAGGAAACCTTTGGTTTCCTGCATATTTATCAAACAAGCTTCTGTATGCATTTCTATAAACTTAAACAAAAAAATGAGGAACTTTTGAAGATCCCCTAAAAGCTCTGCAACACCCCGGGAGTTTCTTGTAACATTGTCTATCAAAGCTTGGGAGAAACATATTAGAATTAACATTTTAACTTTAAATTACTCATTGTAAGGTGCTGGCACCACAAAAATTGTCTTAAACAGGAATTAAAGTCAGTAATTTAAAATTTAAAAAAAAATTAAAATGGAGTTTTATTTTTTTTAATTTGTTAGAGGAAATTTTATTGGTTCGTGCAGCAATGGCCAAAACCCAGTTTCTTAGCATAATAAATTGCACTAAAGTAGGCCCACTACATCAGTAGGGCCTACTTTAAATGTGACTTTGTTAAAGTAAATTGTAATTAGAGTAGGCCTATTTGAATCAATTGGATTCATGAAGGAGTTGATTCATCAACTTCCCATTGACACAGTGGGCCTATTGTGCAATTTATTATGCTAAGCAACAAAAATAACCAAATCATCAAATTATGGAGCTAAAACAAATGTGGTGGTTAAATTAGTTAGACATAAACAAAACCACCCAAATGAAAAATTACTATGCTGTACCTATGTATATATGTACACAATAACTGTAACTTGGAAGATTCCCTTGTACTCCAGCTTTGGACAAATCTGCACCTGTGATGGAGGAAAGAAGTAGCATAAAAGGCAGATCTTTACAATGAGTGTTTGAAGATGTTGATGAGAAGTAAAGTAGAGAGTTTTTACAGACATCAGAGAACATGCTATGTTGCTCTCTAGTTTGAATGGTTCTTCACACACACCCCACAAGCTCCATATATTATAGAATCCTTTTCCCTCCTTATTTTTTAAATAAAGTATTCTCCTTCCCTTCCCATTCCACAGTGAGAGCATTGCCTTTTCTTCTCCTGGACTCTTAGCTTTTTCAGTACCCTTTTATTTTATAAAATGTTATAGCAATAGTAAAGCAAGAGAAGTAATCACCAGTAGAGGACTGATGAAGTGGAAATATCATATGTGGCACAGAAATGTAAAATGGGTGTCTTGTAAAAGGTAAATTGAATTTTGCAACTGTCCAGTCTACATGTAAATACAACAAATACAAGGCTTTATTGTGGGAAGATATTTTCCATAGAATGAGAAAAATTAGAATGTGAACACTGTTTGCAATATTTGCTTTTACTGTTTAAAACACTGCCACTTTAAAATCTGGCAAACACTGGTTTTCATTTATATGTGGCTAGTGCTAAACCCTTGCTACTTACTCATACTTTTGAGCCATTTAGGGGGCAAGCGAAGAATGTAAGGTTCATTATTGGTGGGTGGCAGGAATACATTGGTGCCTCACTTAGCGATTGCGACAAACACTGGTTTTCATTTATACGTGGATAGTGCTAAACCCTTGCTACTTACTCAAACTTTTGAGCAATTTAGGGGGCAAGTGAAGAATGTAAGGTTCATTATTGGTGGGTGGCAGGAATACATTGGTGCCTCACTTAGCGATTGCTTCGTTTAACGATGAAATCGCTTAGCAATGACTTTTTTTGAGCAATCTTGAGCTCCGTTTAACGATGGTTCCTATGGGCAATTTTCACATAGCGATGTTTGGGACCATGCTTCGCATAGCGATGACAGTTTGGGTCCCCCTGTTTCGCTTAATGATGGTTTTGACAGCCTCATGTTGGCTGTTTTTTAAATGTTTAAAAATGTTTAAAAATGTTTAGAATGCTTGAAATCATAAGTGCACTTAATAAACCCTTTGTTAAACTAATTTGACTTTGTTCCGACTCTTTTTAAATTTGTTGTAATTTTCCCCCCCATTGAGATGCATTGAATAGGTTTCAATGCATTTCAATTGGGGAACCGTGTTTCGCTTAGCGATGTTTCCTATGGCGATTTTCGCTTGAGGACGGCAATCCGTTCCCATTGGAATGGATTATCCGGTTTTCAATGCATTTCTATGGGAAACCGTGTTTCGCTTAGCGATGAAATCGCTTAACAGTGATTTTTTGGGAACCAATTATCATCGTTAAGCAAGGCACCACTGTAGTTGTAAACAACAGAAATCTGCCCAACATTGGAAAGCTTAAAGTTTAAAGAATTTCCTATGTTAGGAAAATTTCTGTTGTTTACAACTGTTCCCCACTTGCAAATAATTTCGCTTAACAGTGATTTTTTAGGAACCAATTATCATCGTTAAGCGAGGCACCACTATAGTTGTAAACAACAGAAATCTGCCCAATATTGGAAAGCTTAAAGTTTAAAGAATTTCCTATGTTAGGAAAATTTCTGTTGTTTACAACTGTTCCCTACTTGCTAATAATTTCAGCCACCAGAGGAAGCTTATAATGGTCAACACAGAGATACTCAATTGCCTACTTGAAGAAAATTGTACAAGTTTACTTAACTATATTAACATATGCAGACATATCTTGCTGTCTAATTCTAATATATATGGATACTGGTTAACGTTCTCTCTAAGCTGCACAGGTGTGTGGTCATGCAGTGCTGGATCACAGTGTGCAGCTGAGCCAATGTTGATTCTCATTTGCTTCCATTCATGGCCGGAAACCCATGCGCACAGGGCGGGGACCCTGCCCAGCTCACTGGAAAATTAGAAGGGTTGTTGATACTGGTACAATACTCCTTTTAGGTTAATGCTGAACCTTCATAAAAGTCAGGAGTGGAATGGTCTTTGATCCCACTTTTATGCATGTCAAGTTGGAAAATGTATGTTGACTGTAGTCATAGAATCTTTATGGTTGATGACTGGTGTCTATGTTATTTCCTTCAAGAAATGAATAGTGGAGACTATGGTGGGTTTTTTAAAATGTGTTTTGTTTTTTAATTGGAGCTATTATTAATTGTAGATGCAGTTCTATGTCTCTGTTCCACCGCGTTGTGAAGCCTGGGGTCTCTACAAGTTCCTTTTACTGAAGAGAACTATGTAGAGTAGCAATTATATGATACAAATGGAGGTTTTGCAATCCCTCCATTTGGACAGGGCTAGAATTTGGAGGGATACATTTTATTCTGTAATGATTAACAAGGAGATGAGCTTGACTTGTCAGGATTTCTCTGCTTGGAAGGTAGAGTTTCTACCATAACTTTTTTCTTTAAAGGAAAAACCGTGACTGGCACATCAACACCTTATGAGGACAGATTTATGAGGAATGCCTTAAAGTGTGCATAGCCTGTTCCTTAAACAGACTGGGGAGTCCATTTTCTTTGTGACTAGGTTTGGTTTTCATAGGGGTCAAGCTAGAACTGGATGGAGAGGCTGTTGTACTTTCCATACTGAGTCTGAGGCTTTATGTTACTATTAAATCTTTTGTTTATTTATTCAGCACCCTTTTCTTTAGTTTTCTCTTGTTTTTTGTTATTCAGTAGGGAGCCTTTGCATTCCCATCGTCAATAACTAGGTGTCCCAATATTACCAACCCCCCAAAAAGCAAACAAACAAGCAAGCAAAAACCAAGAAAATTCCAAAAGCTGGGGAGGGGACTTTGGTTTACAATAGTGGGTCTGAACCTTGGGTAACCCAGATGTTCTTGGACTAAAATTCCCAGAAGCCTTCACCACCAGCAGTGCTGGCCAGGGGTTCTGGAAGCTGCAGTCCAAGAACACTTGGCCTATCCAAGGTTGGGAACCCCTGGGTTAAAGGAAAAAGCTATGATAGAAACTGTACCTTCAAAACAGAGAAATCCTGACAAGTCAAGCTCATATCCTTCTTCATCAAAACATGGGTGCATCACTGAATCTTTTTTGTACTTTAATGCCCATCTCAAGCAAATGCATCAGAGGAGTTTTACCCTTTAACTGAAATCTGTTGCTTAGTAGTCTAAGTTGCGACTAGAGTAGGCCTGTAGAATCAGTGGGAATTTGGTGAGTCAGCTCTTCTGTAAGTTCCATTGATTCAGTGGGCTTCCTCTACTTGTGACTTACTGAGCTATGCAACAGAATTTCAGCCTTTGATTCCCTAAAAACAGGAAACTTGCATTCTATTAATTCTAACACTAATAAAGAAGGAACTATGACTGTCCATTAAGATATCCTTCTCCCAAATATGGGTTGGGCTAGATTAGTGAATGTAAGTGTAGATAGAACTCTACTAGAAATGTGTTGTCTATAGTTACTGACTCTCAGACTGCTTTTGTCTCAGCTCTTTCACATCAGTATTGATGCCCTGTATAGGGAGGAGGTGTAGGTAGTGGAAATATGTTCATATTTATTCCAAGCTCATATTTACTTGGAATAAAAGTTAAAGTACAAAAAAGGTGTATTAATATGAATAAAGAGGGGACATTACATTAATTGTAATCTATATAACTTTGCTTTGGGCAGTATAACATCTATATGAGGCTGCTGGGTGAGGTCATCAGGGGGTGTGGGGCATCGTGTCATCAATATGCTGATGACACCCAGC